ATAGATGATTCTAGATATCGAAAAAAACGCATTTTTTATCGATAAGGTGTGGGTGTGAGGCACAGCCTTCTCTTCACTTACACACCCACCCTCTTTCATTATGCATCTGTTTATTTGATAGCGACACATGTAAATTTTTCGGTTTCCTTCTTTTTTTCGTTTGTATTACCCTATCCGTTTTTTTGCATGTAAGGGCTTCCGAGTATTACAATACAATGATTATAAACAAAAATAACCATACTGAAGTTGGGCATCAAAACTAACACTTTAGTGCCGGGCGTGGTATATATATCACTTCGAGTATAATGGATTTTCTCCTTGTGTTATCATACATTCATTATTGGAATTCTCTCCATACATTCCAATATGTTTACCTTTCATAAAATAGAGATATTGAAATGTATGAGGAGAGTCCCAATAAAGAATGCATGATAGCACAATCATGTATGTCAAGTATTTTTCTTCATCGAATGAAGAAAGAGAAGCCAATCAACCAGTTCTATTATCGTATAAAATAACTCTATGCTTGCTTGAAAAATTGCATCATTTCAAATTTCATTTCATGGTATGTATTAACTTAAATAAATATTAGATACTTGCTTTGTTTTTATATACGTTGCTGGTTAAATACAATTTCATCCATTCATTTCAATAGTCCTACATAAGCAGGTTTGATGCTTTTATATTATCACGGATGATTTCGAATATGACTCATTCGGAAGAAACAAAAAAGACATGATTCACTAATAATTAGTGCTAGGAAATTTCAGCCTAAATCAAAACCAAAATGATAAATATAATTCGCTGTAACAGAAGGTGTTGATATGGGGTGAGGTGAGGGTTTTCTCTTGAAATATTACAAATGACACCAGATGATTTTCTAATTCCATTGAAATTGCGCAATACGATGCTAAAATACTTTGAATGTCATTGATCGAGCAAATCAATAATTTAAGAAAACAGAGCAATTATGTCTACGGTTGTGTTCGATGATTATCTTCTTGAAAATTTTTAATGATCTGTGTACTAGAACGAATTCTCTTTATTTTTGATTTCTAATATAAGACCTATTGTATTTTGATTCACTTGTTTTGAAAATCAGAAAAAGCTGAAAAATGGACCTTGTAACTTTGATTTATATGAAAATTCTATCAATTTGTATCAATATACTTTTAAAGAACGTTCGCAACTCATCGTTTGATTATCTTGAAATACAAAAAAAACACAAATACCACTAAAGATCTATAGATGCATAGTACCAATACGATTACGATGTTTTGATCTCTCTTTCCAACAAATATATTCTGCTTTTCCGTTCTTGGAATCTTCACGAAACAAAATGTGAACTTTCGTTGTGTAGGTCGAAAAAGAACAGAAACTTTTCGTTGATCTACGTCAATGTTGCGCTTCGCATCGTGTCAAACAAATTCTACGAAAATATACTCACCTGTTATGATACAAATCTGTCAAATGCTAGAAAGAGTCATACTCACTTTTTGATGATGAATGCAACAAAATATACTGATATCATTGACTTCCCCGAATTTCGCCAAGATATCACTGGACTCTCGCCAACTGGCGAATATCCATCGAACCTTCGTCATTGATGAATATCCAGTTGGCGAAAGTCTTATTGGCGAAATTTGAGAACCCCATGTCGTTATCAGTATGCTTGTTTATGTACTTTTAAGATCATTCATCTTTCTCTTCATTGGTGCACATATGATTTTGCATTTTTCTTTTGTATGAATAATATTGGCAACTTTTGAATGATTGTGATGTCACATGAATCAAGTTTTCTCGTTCTTATTCATATAAAGGGTGTTTCATAATAACTGACGATAGATTGTTAATGATATTTTTCATACCTTTTCTTGACATAGAGTGCTGAAATTTTTATGACATACATATCTAATCAAGATCTTGTTTACCTGAAAGTTTCAGCTTTCTAGCTAAACCTAGTAGTGAAATGCATCATCAAGACTGAAATATATAAATTTTTGTACTCGATTTTTGCAATATTTTGACTGTGAAAATTTTGCATGGTAGTTTCATGGGTAGTCGACCAAAAAATCATATAGTATTCAAAATAATTTTCTTTCGTATCAGATTTGGTACAGTTTTTTTTCGCTGAACATTTTGATAAAAAAACTTTTCAAATTTCTCTGAGAAATGACGATGTTATAGTCAAAATACTAAACACTGTAAAATAGCTTAAAATGTAAGGATAAGTCGATGTACATATCTCAAAATGGCTATACTTTGGAGAAATGTGACATAGTAGGTTTTGTAGAGGAAAGTTTGTTCTACAAAACTCTATATTCGGTTTCTCAGATACAGGCGATTAGGATGAATAAATCTCAATTGAACCTTATACCCGATATTCGTATCAAAAAAATCTGACATCTTCTGCTTTTACGATAAATATTTTGACTATAACATCATCATTTCTCACTGAAATTCGAAAAGTTTTTTTAACAAAATGATAAGCAAAAAAAGCTCTACAAATTCTGGTACGAAAGAAAATTTTCTGAATACTTTTTGATTTTTTAGTTAACTACTCGTGGAACTACCCTGCAATATTGAGTACGAAAATTTACATATTTCAATCTTGTCGCTGCATTTCACTACTAGGTTTACCTAGAAAGCTGAAACTTTCAGGTATACAAGATCTTGATTAGATATGTATGTCATAAAAATTTCAGCACTCTATGTCAAGGAAAGGTATGAAAAATATCATTAACAATCTATCGTCAGTTATTATGAAACACCCTTTAGATGTTGCATCAGTTTTCTTTTATGAATGCAAGAGAATATTGTCTCGACCACGCTATTATTTATATGTCAATAAAAAAAAAACATATCGGCAGAATCCATAAGAATAACTTTTTGCTTCGAATGAAACTTTGAAAATGAATCGAGAGAAGATGGTCGCTTCCGTACCTATATTGGATTTATTCTGAAAACAATATTATTCACTTGTTTGTATCATATACTTGAGAAAAAGAAAACAGTTCCTTTGATGATCGAATGTATGGATAATCTTTTCTATAACCATGAAGTATTTACTTTCTTCTAGTTAAATATGTGTAGTCTGTTTTGAATTTTCTTCATGACGTTTGACTTTTCACAAAATTATTTTGTTCGGGTTCTTTAATTTTTCTATAATAAATACTTACAGAAAAACCTGAGACAAAACCTAGATTAAACTATATGAGTTTTGGCGAAAAATGACAAAATGTAACGACAATCAAAATTTTCACAAAGAAGAAAAAAAAACACCAGCTTAAAAAAAACTCAACGAATCAAACACATAAGACTGATTTTTAAACAAAGCTAACAAGCTAGTGTTCTAAACTAGTTCTTACTATAGGGAATACAATGTGGTATCATCGTAACTGAAGTTTTAACATAAAAAATTTCAAGAATATAATTTATTTTTGTTGAAAATACAATTGAAAAGCGAACTGATCAAACAAAATACAAAAACGATAAATGAATGATTTAACCAAAAAAGAAAATAAATTAGTAATTTCAAGTAATTACGACAATTTAGGAAATATTATCATTCGAGTCTAGAACGTTCGAGTTTCGAAAGACTTTAGCTTACAAAATCTATGTACTTAATAATTTCTTTTCATTTTGAATCTCTTTTAATCAATAAAACGCTTTGCTCTCTAAGGAAGGTGTTCATAATTGTTTAACCTAGTTGTTTATAAAACAGTACAAATTTCATCATTGATGAAGACTTGGAGTTGAATTTATAAAAATTAATAAGTTTTATTTCATATATCGAAATAGAGAAACAAAGATAACCATGATTAAGTTGATTATATTTGTTTATTATCTAACATATCAGCTCCTACTTGGAACTGGTACTAGACCTATCAGTCATCACTGTCCTTTTCCCTGAACTTAACGAATTCTATGGCTTTCATGACCAACAGATATAAGTCTGTAAGTTTCTAGCTGATAAATTTCTGTTCATCGTCTGAATTCCAGCCATAAATATTGAGATAATACATTCTTATCGAACAATGCAGGATGTGGGTCATACTGAATGAGTTAATTAAGCTCACAAACAGTTTGCTAGATGCGAGAAGTTAATTTCGATCAAACTTAAAGATCTTTCATCTCAAAATTGCGAGCGCACTTTTATGAACTATATGTAACTGACTTTCATAAAAGCCCAATAGTTAGTAGTTTTTAATATGCTTCCATTACAAAATAATCACTAAAAATTGTGTTTTATCGTCAAGATCATGTAACTACTAGCACGATATTACTGTGAAAATATTTAGATACTAAGAAATTTCAAGATAGGAAGCCTAGTATAAAAATTGGACGTTTTAGCTCATCTTATATTTTTGTCGGCAACGGTACATTTTCACGAATTGAGATGATTCTCACTGGTATTAAATAGTTATTGCAACAATATTAGTTCCTACAGGAGATGTTTTGAAAGAGTTCTACATTCATTCTTAATGTTAGTACATATGAAATGTGACAAGCGAATACAGAAGTTTTACTATTAGAAACCCCAAGAATTATAGAAGTTTTACATTTTATGTCTTTGTAGAACTGAAGTAATGGACTGTTTTTTCGAAAAAGCTAATGGATTAATTGATAAATTAAATGGACCGGATTTTTTGCTGGTCCAATCATTGACATCAACCGATCGGACTGATCAGCCTAAAGAAAATCCGAGCAGTCTCACGTATTTATCAGATCATGTCCGTACTACTAACTTAATTCGAACCTTAATAACATTATAATTTAACTGTATATTTAGATGGGAATGTTACTAAGGTTCGAAATAAATTATGTAATACAGGCAAATATCGTACGCTAAATTATCTAGAATATTAAATATCAAGAGCTCAAGTATTGGAAGACTAATAATTCGAATCTCAAATGTTCTAGAATCAAAAGATGCATCGCCGAAATTTCGTTGCTTACTAGGAAAAAGTCTGAATAAATCAAATATTGTTTTAGTTTTTTTACTCTTGTGATCTATCATTAGGATTTGTCGTATTCGGTGATGGAATAATATTAAATATTGTTTGACCTGATTGTGTTTCATCGTTTGGTGGCATTGTTAATGTTATGGGACGATTTGCAGGTGATGTAGGTGTTTGTTGAGATTGTTGTTGTGCTCTTCGTTCTGCTTCTTGTTTTATCATTAATTGTTGAATATGCAAAGGTAATCCAGGATTAAGACTCAAAGCATATGGTAACAATGTTTTTGCCATGTCATCAAAATCAACCATTACTTTAATAAACATTGTATCATCTCGTACATATGGATTACCTTCTTGTTGAATCATTGTCAATGGAAAAAATTT